AATCTCTGAGATAACCCCCTATCTTTAAGACATGATGGTGAGATATATTTGATACTGAAAGTTATTCTAAGAGTGGTTGCAGAAACTGTCAATATTACATTTCATGTAACCATTCGATGTATATATTTCTCAATATCCAAATATTGTATTGATAAGTGTGTGTGTGTGTGTGTGTGTGTGTGTGTGTGTGTGTGGAGGGTACTTGATGAGACTTTATTAAAAGTACACGTTCACTTAAATTCTTCAGTTTTCAATGTTTTCTATTCCTTTCTTAGTACAGCTTGATATATGTGTGCATATCAGCATTCATACAATAAAAAAGTGGATTATGTTTAGATTACGTGCATTTAAAAAAAAACTGTTAAGGTCATTTACAGAAAACTGTTTTAATGACTATTTTTATGACCTTGAGTTATTTTCTTCATATAAAGGTGGAGACTACACAGAGAATATCTTTTGTCTACATGAACTTGTGGTTTTTATTGATTAATAACATTCTATTGAGTTTTTCGTTGTTCTTATATTTGGTTGTTTTTTGAAGAGGGATTATCAACTTCATTTAAAGATGAAACTTTAGTGAACTCCAAGTTGGTATTCATCATAAACTGACATCAGTTGGAGGAACATTGGAAACCTTGAAACAATAGACAGCTATCTCGTCCTAGTACAGGACTCCTTAGCAGTACCTACCTATGACCCTAACAAAGTTCAAAACCAGGATCCTCAGGTTCCATGTAAAACACATTACCATTGAATCATTGGGTCGGAATCAAGTGGTTCATATTTCCTACTTCTATCAGTTCACGATATAGCGTGACCAATGTCTTTGTTAAGTAACTGCCCTCCTGTTAGATTTAGTTAGCTCCATACGTCACGACTTCTCATTGGAACTTCAGGAATTACTTCTCGAAGCTAGTCACCAATGAGCTCTAGATTCATTCTATATGGAGGTTTGTGGAGATGTATTAACTGGTTTCAAGTTGGTATTCATCATGGACTGACACCAGTTGGAAGAATATTGGAAGCCTGGGAGGACTAGGCAGCTATCTCTTCCTAGTACGGGACTCCTCAACAGTGGGCCCCCAAGACCCCACCGGGGATCGAACCCGCGACCTTCAGATTTCGCCACCAGTACGTTACCATTCAGCTACTGAATCGGGATCCTACGGTTCATATTTCGTACTTATGTCAGTCAGCTGGCGGGATCATAGGTGCGCACTGCTGAGGAGTCCCGTACTAGTACGAAACAGCTGTTCAGTGTTCCTCCAACCGATGTCAGTCCATGATGAATTTCAACCTGAAATCAGTCAATAAATCTCCACAAACCCTCAAATTATATTTAGTGGACTTCTTTTTAGGGTTGAATTCTTCATCAACCGACATCAGTTGGGGAACCATTGAAAACTTGGGAGCACTGGACAACTGTTTCTACCTAGTATGGGACTCCTCAGCTGTCGAGCTGATATCATTCCGTAATGAATGCAACCCTAGAAAACAAAATTCTCATAAGCCATAAACTACACTACTGTATGGTATTCGTTAGTGAGATGCTTCTAGGTGGTTATCCCGAAGTTCTAATAAGAAGCTGTGACCAGTGGGATCAACCAGTTAGAAGTGGAGTGGATGTCAACTGAAGACCAAGGTGAAAAGTCACCTTGAATTGCGAATTGACAGAAGTAAGAAATTGCTAAGCACTGAACTTTGACCCAGTGGCTGGATGATTAGCGCGTTCGCTGTGAAACCTGAAAGTCCTTAGTCCGATCCCTGTTGGATGGAGTTATGGGTGCATACTTCTTAGAAGTCCCATACTAGAAAGAAACAGCTTTTCAGCGCTCTCAGGTTTTTTAATGGTTCCCTAACTGATATCAGTCCGTGATAAAATATAACCTTAAAATTAAAATCCTTATAAACCTCTAACTTCTTTTAATCTGTAAGGGTACAATTCAGTAGATTTTTGTGCAAATTTCACCGTGTTTAAATCTACCCACCTTTAACCTTTCTCTAACTTGAACCTACTTCAGTTGACATTGTACTGCAGAACAGACCGTGCCCGATGATGTGCAACACATATGTCAACCATCTAGTTCGATGAAGGTTCACAACCTCATCAACTAACGAACCTCTCTTACCGAAAAATCGATGCTTGTTCTCTACATTGCTGACGTCATAACCTTTTTTCAAATAGCAACGATGGTTGAACAGCTGAAGGCGTTTCATATCCTCCACCTATAGTGGTCATGTTTTACAGTCACACAGTTACATAGAGCAAAACATTCAGTTTTGATAGGCAATTGCATATCATGGGTGTGTCACAAAAATGCATTAAACTGGCAAATGCTAATCAAACCTTTTTTATCTGTACTTAGAGTTTATCAGTCACTCTCAAGTGGAGCGATCAGTGTACTCAACAACTTCTAGCACTACTGCCAGATGGAGTGTTGACGAAAACCAGTCTTGAAGCATCAAAAACACCTTGCTCTTGAGAAATGTATTATTAATGTTCTCAAATTGCCACTCAAGGCGCCTAGAATGCTTTAGATATTGTTATGATCCTCACCTACATAGAACTATACCCTATGCTTACTTTATATCCACCTAGGAGTCTCTCGTAGCAGTGTCAATCCATTTAAAATCAAATGAGAATTAAGGAGATGTTTGTAAACAAGAGTCGTCTGGAGCTGTATTTAGGATTAATACATCTCCTTTGTTATAAACTGGAATGGTCAGTGATCTAGACCAGTCTGACGATTTCTATACACTAGCCGGCGATTCTGTTACTTTTCATTTCAATCTTTTAAAAGTCTTAGGTGGTAAAGCTTCAACTCATGTTGCTTTGCGTTATTTTAAAGTTGAAAGATTCTCGTCAACTTTGAAGAGAGCTAGAGTATCGACATGTTGATCCTATTCAGGTTGGAGCTGGATGTTAGGTAAGTGAAGCTTGACTGTAAGTCAGCTCAACTATTCTTCAGAGTGTTCCACACAATGTCCTAGCCACTTGCCCTGAGAGATTAACAGTGGCATATTCTTTTCGGTGATGTTCTCATTAACCATCGTCTTCTTGTTTGCAATATTCTTAAAAAGCCTTAGTAATTGGCAAGTATTACTTAATGCTGATACTTTTTCTGTCTTTCGCTTTCATCACCCACCACTGTTTGCAGTCATTGTAAAAGCTCGTAGTCATTTTACATTTAAGTTACTTCCTTTCGTGATTGTGGTCAGGACCAGTTGGAATGAGTCTTCTCATATCAATCAGTTTGAATGTGGTTATGGAAATGAACTGACCTTTGGTAGAGTTTAGATATTGGTTAGCAAGTGTATTAACCGCTTTTTCTTTAGTGGATGGATTATTACCCGAGGCTTGCTTAGGGAGAGAATTGCTGTTATGTTCAGATAAATGTCTAGTCACCTCCTTCTGGATACGGACTTGATGTTTTCATCTTGTAGTCAAGTACATAGAAGTCGAACTGCTGTATGTTCTCAGCGTCCATTAAGGCGCACATATACACATTTTCGAACCAGCACATGATCTGAGTCCAAGTAAGTAGTCCTAAAGGAGTGGTGATTTAAACTGGCTGATGGCTAAGGCTTCAACAAGTTTAAAGATCCGTTTCCAACACGTTTTGTAAATAGGTCTAAAGGAAATAGCCACGTCAATCCTGTGAACTATCTCAGCGATATGTTTCGTGATCGAAGCACTTGGACATCTGCTACCAACGTTTATGGGTTAAGGTGATTTTATTTTCCTCTCAAGGCAATTCGGAATATGCTCCGAGGCCCTCATTTGCATGAATCTATGAGTCCTCCCTATCTACACATACATTCAAATTAGTAGATGCACTGGGATGTGACTTTGTCGTTCACATGCTGTCAGGATCTGGAATTGTGCTATGAGAGTCACCTTTGTACAGAAGACTAACAAAGAAATCTTCGCTTGGGAAAAATTGAGTAGCTGGTTTTGGCGCTCTGGTTATTTGATGGGTATTTATTTTCCAGCAGTGTTTTATTCAATGTTCTTTGTCGTCTTCCAAAGTATCATCTATGCATATTCGTAGAATTTTTAACTGAATAAGCATCTAACTAACGCTTGCTTGTACTAAACTAGACAAAAGCTTTGATATCGTTGAGTAACTGTCTCACGACCATCACGCTTTGCCGCCACCGGTCACGACTTCTCATTGCAACTTCGGGAATACCTCTCGAAGCTAGTCACCAATGAGCACCAGTTCGATTGAATTTTTGAGGGAGTTGTGGGGATTTAGAAATATTTCAAGTTGTTATTCATCGTAGACTGACATCAGTTGGAGGAACAAATTAAACCTGGGAGCACTGGACAGCTGTTTCGTCCTAGTATGAGACTCCTGAGCAGTGCGCACCCACGACCCCGCCAGAAATCGAACCCGCGACCCTCAGGTTCCATGGCCATCGAGTCACTGGGTCAGAATCTAATGGTCCATGTTTCCAACTTCTGTTAGCTCACGATATAGCCCACCCAATATCACCCCTCAAAAATTCAATTGAACTGGTGCTCATTGGTAACTAGCTTTGAGAGGTATTCTCGAAGTTCCAATAAGAAGTCGTGACCGGTGGGAGAAAAGCTATGGTAGTTGAAATATTGCCCTGTCCATGTAGATTTCTGTAGATAGATCACTTTATGGATCTGTCCTGCCGCCAACTGATTAATATGTCTAAGAAAAGCAATCAGTCATCGTCCTCTTCTATACATGTCAAGGATATCCTGTTCTACACTTCATTCATACAGTTTGGAATTCAAGTGGTCTTACTTGAGTTATCACAAATAATTAAGATATCATTGATGCATCTTTGATATCGAAGTTTCTGTTCTTTTTTTCTAAATCCTGGCTCAGCCCAGGCTTTTAATCGTTACGCTGTATGTAAACAATTTATCTGACAACCTGTTTTTACTATTCACTATGGATTGTTTCAATCGATCAGTGAATGATAACTTTTTAAAAACTATAGCTAATATATCTCTCTTACAGGTTATATTCTTTGTGTGGATGCATTTAAACGTCCGGATATATTTCAAGTGTGTGCATTAGTTTTTACGCTTTCTGGTCGAAATAATCCTGCACAGAATTTAAATGTAGGTTTTTGCACTATTTTAAGAATAATTCGTATACATATTTGTGTTCTACTGTTTAACTGTAATCCAATGCACAGGAATTCGCTGTCACCTTCAATGGGAATGAACTATGTGTCTTTTAATTGGAGTTGTGGCTGACTGGCTTCAGTACTAGTCTTTCTCTCACCTGCTTATGCATTCGAACCCGACTACAGACATAGAGAATTAACGTAGAACCTCGTACATAACTGCATCGAGTCAAGCTGACACACTTCACACGAGTATACAGAGAACAGGTGGAGAGAATAAGAGTGGTACCACCAAAATAGATAAGGTTGTGTGACAGAATAAACAATCTGAAGATAACAGTTAGTACGATTATTCAAGCTTTAGGAGATGTCAATCAATCAGTCGAAGAATGAATACTTCCGCACCATTGTCACTGATTTTCAGCCATGTCACCAACAGTCTCCAATCACTGACTCCTATCGTCTCGAAGACTCCAGATAGATAATCTTCATCTGCCAACACTGTTCAGGTCAACAATCAGGGACTTCATCGACTGATACCACATCCTCCTCTTCAAACCCAGTCCAACTTCCTTTAGCATGGGATGTCTAGGTGGGTGGTGACTTGGCATCCTCAGCAGATGTTGAAACCACCTCAGACGATGAAGGTTTCCAACCTGATCAATCGACTTGCCTGTCTCCTCTAGTACTTTGCACCTAACCTCTAGATTTCTCACACGGTGATTCCACGAAATGCAAGAAATGCTGCTAAGACAACTATTATTAAAACCCTGCAACCGATTCATGTCGTTTAATTTTTACAGCGATATCTCACAGCTGTGTCACAGGACAGAACAGACTGCAGCACAGTATACTTGTCGTTTGACAGATATTCGGATAGCTCGCTAATTACTGCAACATGTGATACAAGGTGACAAATTTCAGAGGAGCCTTCTGTACCCAAGCTGAGATTTTGTCAGAAACCAGCCTGACTCCACCTTCTGTGGTTTGGGCAACCAGACATTACTATCATATCCATGCATACCGTAGGTGTGTATCGTAGCCCCTACTACACAAGCCTTCCTGTGGTTGGTCATATGCATCTCTCTTTCACACAGAAGTTGTATACAATGTTCAGTGGTTGGTGTTGAGGATTATTTAACATGAGTAGTCTGAGTAGAACTATATATATCCGTAGACTCTTAAGCATTTTGAAATAATATTCATCAGTCATCACTCTGTAGCAGTCTGTAAAACAACGGGTATCTCAGACAGTCTCATTGATAACCAGCCTAACTGTCCTCCTCTCTAATTCAATCCCATTTGGGTTGTGACAAGATCCTGGCTGAATAGGTATTGTGATTACGATGAATGAGTATTTATGTATCAAGGGTTCAGTAGCAGTCAGGGAAAAGCCTTAATGATTAAAGTGAAGTCAATGCCTGTCCAGTTGCTGCGTCTTGCAGCCCTCTCTCTCTCTCTCACTGAAAGGCGTTCCGACTAAGTACATCAACTTATTGAAGGCTCTCTACTCGAACACCTGTGGGCGCGTTAGAGCCTATGATGAAATGTCCGGAGAGCTGTGCTCGTCGAGTGGTGTCCGTCAAAGATGCCCGCTCTCTCCATTCTTATACGATTTTATCATAGATATCGTTGTCGAGGTCTCTCTCTCTCGTCACCTGACCATACAGAGGTTGATCTAATCGCAGGAGAATTTTCGTTACACCTAGAATATGCAGATGACATAGTCCTATTAGGTGAAGACGCTGACTGATGAGCTTCAGAGTCTTCTGAACATTTTGAGTGGGAATTTGAGAATGTTTGGGATGCGTTTCTCACCACCCAAATGCAAATTGTTGCCCCAGGATTGGTCTTCAACAGTGCCACCAATAACAATAGAGAGTGTAGAGGTTGAGTTTGTCGACCACTTTACTTACCTGGGAAGTAGGATCAGCCCTGCCCTGATGGCTCAGTTGCCGATGAAATCTCTGCACGGATACAAAAGGCTCGACTGGTTTTCGCCAACTTACGCCATCTATGGCGCCGCCGTGATATCCGATTGTCTATACGGGTCACGTGTACTGCACAGCAGTCTTATTTGTTCTACTGTATGGCTGTGAAACATGGCCACTGAAGGTGGAAGACATGAGAAGGCTGGCTGCCGGTGCTTGACCTCCGTTGCCTTCGTAGTATAGGCCGTATTCCATGGTGTTACCAGGTGAGTAACGCAGAAGTCGGGTGCAGAGTTCTAGGTAGCAGACATAACTGAGTTGACGAAGTTGTGAACCTTCATCGACTGAGATGGTTGGGACATGTGTTACGTCTGCCTCCTCACATAATTTTTGCCGAAGTTGGAAAAAGGCCTGAGGTAGCCAGACTAAAACATGGCATCTGCACATGAAGTCTTTAACTGTTGGTTTGAGCCATGAAGGACGCTGTAGACTAGCCGGTTGGGGTCGGCGGAACAAGAGAAACCAGTGGTTGGAGACTGATTCTAGGTGGTCACATGGCTGATAACCGATGTCAGTGGCGCAGATATATACACACATTATTCTTATCTTAACGACGTTATACCGAATCCCACTTTTTTCTCATTCTTCTTTTCTCTCTTTTAGTACTTGATATTTCTTTTGACTGAGACTTCTTTTCTTCATCTTCTACTTCACTGCCTTTTACTTAATGTACCGATATGAGGTGTGGAAACTCGGACCGTTATGGAATAATGCCTAGTCCTATGTTGATGGATGATGATGGTGATAATCTTGCAGCTCATTTGATAAAATATCGGACCAGTAACCCACAAGCCGAGAGTCCGATTCCCTCTGCTACCTAAGTTTCCATTTCTCGTCTAATCATCACTCTGCATCAATAATACCAACGTGACAAACGATAGCTATCTTAAAATAGTCTCATTGAATATTGAAGTAGACACAATACATGTCCTGTTTCATTTCTAACAGCTTTTGATATCTCAATTGTTCACATCTCTTCAAATGGATGGATATTCATTATCAGGATTACATAATTCATCATTTTAACTTTTTCATTAAATTTAATCGCTGATATATCATTGCAAGTTCTGTACGAAAGAAGAATATCTATTCGGAGAGCACTTCAGCGTTAATATCCAAATCCTTTGTCATTTCAAAATGAGATGGTATTTGGTCGAAAAATTGTGTGTAGTGCAAATTGATAACTTTATTTACTTTATTTCTCCTTTTTGTAATCAGCTGATTCATTTTTAGATGTTAATTAATAAATGTATAGGATATTATTTTTACTATTTATCGATTTCAAGGATCAAATGACGATGTTATAGATACCAGTCTATCATTCCGGATATGGTAAATGATGCCTAACCTTTTGGATCCCATTGTCTTTTAACTAGATCTGTCGTTGTAGTATAATCACTAGTGTTATACGATATTTAACTCTGTTAAAGTCTTAGGTCTAAGTCAGTTATCGGATGAGTGTATTTAGCAACTGAGCCTATCGAATTTCAAGTTGATCTTCATCATGGACTGACATCATTTAGAGAACCAATAAAAACCTTGAAGCAATGGAATCAAAATCCCCACCAGCCCCTGGATTTGATCGACTTCAAATTGACATGATCTCTGTGTTGAAGTTTAGGTTTTGATAAACTCTCCAATGTCATGCTAGACATTATCAATAGTTTAAACTTACAGAAAGCCGAAGTAACATGGTTATTCATGGATATTTGTAAATTGCTAGTGACTTTATCTGAATCCGACCTAGCTGGTCGAATATGGTTATCTGTTAGATCTACCTGGTTGGTATCTTACTTTAAAATTTTCCCAGAAGTTGTATGATTAGTCCAATGGCTAGTTTCATTGATTCGATTGAAGTAAACTAAGATTGGTTTGGTGTTATGAAATTTGTAATTTCTCGTTGCTATACAAGACCGAATCGCTCGACCTCTGTTAACAAATAGGCTTCTATGCCGATACCTCGATGGTGCCGGACATTTGTGATGTTATATTCATCTTAGTGACCAGTAGAGAGATCTAGGACTCGCTTTTCGTCCTGCTTTGTACTCGTCAGCTGGATGTACCTCAACTCTAGTGCGGAGAGATGTTGTTCCCACTGAGACTTGAACCAAGTATCCATCTCTTCAAACGTTTAGGCCTTATCCACTGGGGTACGATGGCTTTGGGGTTTGAAGCGATGGGTACTGTGTTTGAGTTTTACTGGGTATAACATCATTCACTAAGGTACAGGGTCATCCATCTGACGAGTCCCAAATAGGACGAAACTCACGTCAAGCTGGATTCCACTGCTAGCCACTAAAATGAATATAAGTCTAGTCTGCTTTGATTGTGTGACCATCTTGGTTGCAGTGAATTCAAAAAGTCTACAGTAATCTATGTAGTTGAAACGTCATAGTTTGGCTTGATTATGATTCATGAACTCTTTCTGGCTGCAGTGGGTGCATTTCTCATTAACTGGTTAATTTACTACAGATTTGGTCGTATAATATCTTTATAGTTCTATTTTTATTTTATTTTTAAAATATGGTGATTTTTTATACAGAATCTTCCAGTTCCACTTTGGAAAGATCTGAGTATACCACCAAGAGAATCTCAGCTGAAATCATTCAACAGTCTGCATAATTCAGAGTTGAAATCTACAAACAGGTATGCAACCAGAATGTTTTTTTTTATAAAAAAAAACTAACCTTTACTAAGATTGGCTGAAAAATTTACAGATCACTTGCAAACTTCTTCGATTTATCAAATATGCAAGCGAATAATCTAAGCGAAATTACGATTCATCGTTGGACATAACCTCGAATGTAAAAGTATAAGGTTTTCATCATATGTGTCTTCCTAGTATTGCTCGCGTATATTAAAATTACTGTATTTGCAGTCTAGGGGTTGGGGGCATGGTACTAGAGAAGACAGGCAAGTCGATTGATCAGGTTGGAAACCTTCATCGTCTGAGGTGGTTTCAACATCTGTTGAGGATGCCAAGTCACCACCCACCTAGACATCCCATGCTAAAGGAAGTTGGACTGGGTTTGAAGAGGAGGATGTGGTATCAGTCGATGAAGTCCCTGATTGTTGACCTGAACAGTGTTGGCAGATGAAGATTATCTATCTGGGGTCTTCGAGACGATAGGAGTCAGTGATTGGAGACTGTTGGTGACATGGCTGAAAATCAGTGACAATGGTGCGGAAGTATTCATTCTTCGACTGATTGATTGACATCTCCTAAAGCTTGAATAATCGTACTAACTGTTATCTTCAGATTGTTTATTCTGTCACACAACCTTATCTATTTTGGTGGTACCACTCTTATTCTCTCCACCTGTTCTCTGTATACTCGTGTGAAGTGTGTCAGCTTGACTCGATGCAGTTATGTACGAGGTTCTACGTTAATTCTCTCTGTCTGTCTGTCTGTACAAAACAGTCTGCTGACTCTTTATTACTCTTGGATGTATCTGGTCAAGTGGAATCGACATCATTCCTCAACTAGGAATAAAACCCGTGGAATCCATGCCAACAGACTCATGCCGGAGTCGTATGAAGTCAGGAGAGTGTCTTGTTCTTTCGTAACAGTAATTAAGTAATTCTATGCCTAATAAATAATTTATGTCAATTTGCACACTTACATTAGATGTTGTATAAGACGAAACTTAAAACCCCATTGTCAGCAAAGTGTGGAAATGACAAATTCCATTATGGTTGAAGGTTAACTCACTCCTTAACCAATAGAAATGACTTCAGCCTCGAAAAGTAACCAATCAGAATAAAGTAAGAAGAAACAACAGTTACTAATGATAAGAAATAGGTGGATCATGATTCACACTGTAAGTGTTATTCATTGTCAAGCATATTGACCTGCTCATGACTGTTATGTTGACGTCACAACAGGACACGCTTTCTTAGACTTCCAGTATATATTAGTTCGTAGTACTGATGTCAGAGATTAAGATGTCTGATTTCAGTTTTATTGGTTTCTGATGGATGCAATACGTGATGAAAGTACAATTGAAAAACCATTCACCATTAAGTTTTTGAAAACTACTGATTTGAGTAGTTTCTAAGTATTCAAGTTCAATGTTATCTTCCTTTTATATTACCATTTATTATTATTATTATTATCATTATTATTATTTGTCCCTTGGGTTCCTAGTGGAACAGAGGGATTCAGCAGCACGTATCCATTCCACTCCGTTCTTTACAATCTTTTGAACCTGGCTCCACGACTGCCCACAACCTCTCATTTCTTCCTCACACGATCTCCTCCATGTCACCCTCGCTTCGGACGCCCAACTCGTCGTCTCCCCTTTGGATTCCACTCGATGGGCTGGTGCGTGATGTCCCTAGTCGGCCTTCTCAGCGTATGTCCAATCCATCTCCACTTTCTTCTTCTGCACATTTGTTGGGTGATAGGTTGTTGGTTGGCTGGTTCATCGCCAGCCAGGCCAGAGTTCCTTTTTGTGTATTCTTATTACTCTAGCCATCTGATGTGGTCTTCAGTATCGATTGAGCGTAGCTGGCAACTGTTCGTGTATGATGTCTGCAGTTTGTTGGAAATGTTTTTGCTAACGCACCACCAAGTCTGTGAATCATCACACAGAAGCACTGACTTGACTGAATTAGTGTTGAAAATCGGGATGTTGTTCACGTTTTATGCTGAGTGCAGAAGATCTCCACACTGGTTTCAGGTTAATGAACACCTGTCTTGCTCTCCCGATCCTAGTTTTAACTTCCTCGTCTGTGCCGCCTGTAGTTGAAACGATGCTACCTGCCTACGTGTGTTAACGAGACAACTTCCTTTAGGTTTCTCCTGTTGATGGTGATTGGAGCTTGTTGTTGCTGGTGGTGGCGTTGGTTGGGCCTCATCATCACCTTTGTCTTCTCTATATTCACCTGAAGTCCCATCGTTGCTGCCTCGCCTCGCCTCGCCTTGCCTCTTCTATCAACTTGTTAGTTTTCGCCTGTAGATCTTCTAGTTTGTGCTGAAAAACATTAGACACAAGTCATCGGCAAAACCCAAATCTTCTAGGATCTTTTCCCCGCTCCATCGCATCCCCCTCTTCTCGCCCCACACTGTTTGTTGCATGATTCAGTCTACCACAATCAGGAAGATCATGCGTCCCTGAGCTTCCCACTGTGGATCACTTGACTTGTGGCCTTTTCATATAGCTGTTGAATAAGGTTGATAAAGATTTTTGGCACTAAAACCGTAGTGTTGAAACAGCTGCCTGCCAAACTACTTCTCGGTCGATGCTGTCGAAGGCCTTTTCAAAGTCGATAAAGTTGAGGTAGAGAGTTGACTGACATTCTATACTCTGTTCTATGATGATGCATAGTGTAGTGTTGCAATTTGGTCGGCACATGATTTGTACTTCCTGAAGCCAGCCAGCCCGTTCTGGTCGTAGTTTTGAATCCATAGCATCCTTTAGTCTCTCCAGGATGATGCAGCTTAATATTTTGCTTGGGTTGGACAGGAGCGTGATTCCACACCATTCCTTGCAAAGACTTCAGTCGCCGTTCCTCTGGGGTTTGATAAGGTAGCCCTTCTTCCAATCAATAGACAGGTACCTTTCCTTCCTTCCTTCCAGACCTTCTGCAGATGTGGTGTGAGCATGTCCGCTGTTGTCTCTGCACCTGTTCTCAGTGCTTCTGGCGGGATTCTATCTGGTCCTGCTGCTTTCCCGTATTTCAGTAGCTTTATGGCGTCCAGGACTTCAATTTTTACTGGAGGATTTATGTTCACTTGTAGTTCTGTGGCTGGGTTGCTGGTGGTATTTCTGGACGAGTTGCAGGTAGTGGCGGTGATCGATTCAAGAGCTTTTTGAAGTGGTCAGCCCATCGTTTCCTTTGTCTCTCTTCTTTGGTAATTAAATTTACATCATCATCTTTTATTGGTTTCGTCTGTGTTGATATCTCCCCTCTCAGATGGTGACCTGGTTATTTGATACCATGTTGTCAGGTCTCTGTCTCTCCCACCCGCAGTCTGTTTTAGTTCACTTGCCAGTGTCTTTTGTCCTTCCGCGCACTCTTCTTCACTTCTTTGTCCAGTGTAGTGTTTTATAGGTTATATTCAGTTCCTCTTTTTGTTGTTCATCCATGCACTGCACTACACTGGTTCATCTTCTGCTTCACCATCTTCACCTCCCTCGTCTATCGGCTTCTATGTGTTCGTCGAGATCCATTCCATTCCATTCCTTGTCTTCTTTCTTCTTTCTTCCTAACACGGTTATGCAGGTTTCTTTCCACATCTCTTTCAAAGAGTTCCAGTGTTCATCCTTGTGATTCACAAATGAACATTATGATAGTTATTTTGGTTATCTTGCATAGATGAATAAAAAAAGTACATATACATACAGAGGTTTGGAATTCTTTGTTCACAGTGTTGACACTATTACTGCTGTTATTACTGTTAGCACCTGTGTTGTGTTACTAATATTGATCATACTTTTCTTACGATTACTAAGGAACCGCTTAAATGATTTAGGAGGGTAATTATTGATGAGTAAGGTGTCCTTAATGTATCCGGTTTCTTGTATTAGATTTTTTTTGCTTCACTAGTAAATCTTTTGCCCCTTGTTACTTGGACATTTTACCAAGCCAACTTTAACTGACATAAGGTGAGGGGATTTCTGTGGACACTGGTGTCTAAACTGCCATCTACTTTACGTTTTATTCTGCATCGCTCTGTAGGTTAAAAAATCCTATTGATCCGATTAGGCAGAATAATTTAGTTAACCGAATCCCTTGCAACGATTGTGAGGTCAATTATACCATTCGAGCACAAAAACCTAAGTCATAATTGGTAGATCGTAGTAAGACAAAGAATTCAGAAAGAAGCTCGGTCAAAGCTATGTACGCAACTACACACAACAAGACTGAACAGGGTGGAAATCCTTAAAACTAATATAACGGGGTGGTGGAGGGAGAGATTGATAGTTGGATCTTTGTTTTCAGGATAGTATTCATCATGGACTGACAATAGTTGGAGGAACACTGGAAACCTGGGAGCACTGGGCAGCTGTCTCGTCCTAGTAGGTGACTCCGCAGCAGTGCGCACCCATGACCCCTCCAAGGACCGAACCCAGTACCTTCAAGTCTCGCTGACAGCATTGATAAAATGGGTCTTAATTCAATGGTCCACATTTCCTACTTCTTTTAGTTCACAATATAGCACGAATTCCAATGCCATTTTTGAGTAACTGTACTTATGTTCAATTTGGTTGACCCCACCGTTCACGACTTCTGACTGAAACTTTGAGAATCACCTCTCGAAGCTAGTCATCAATGAACACCACAGTATCCAAGTTTCAGTCTTATATTAATGTTAGGAAATGGTGTTACGCATTCCCTGCTGTGCTGTTCACCACCGGAGTGCTTAATGGTAGGTGTTGAGCAGAATAAACTCGAGACTGGTGAGATACGTAGATGCAGCGATAATTCACTAATTCTCTACTTTCTATTGGAACTTATGGTTAGAATATGTGAGTCAATTTGAACTGAATGCATAGATTTTAGGCATTTCGTCTGAAATTCGATCATAGTGGTTGACCTTCCTGTCGGTTTTTGTCGATATGAATGCTCGAGATGAGGTTCCTGAAGTTCTAATGTGAAGTCGTGAGGGGTGGGATCAACGAAGTCAAACATGAAGATAT